ATTGGTCAAGTGATATGGCTAAGTGAGGATTTTGATGATTAAAGAAATGTCTTCAAAGAGAACCCCAACTGATGCCCCAACAGGTGTTCTTTAAGCTAGAATGGGGTGGGGAGTAGGAAGTGAAAGGATGGAGCAACCTCTTGTTCAGAGGAAGAGCTGGAGGGGTGAGATCATGAAGCAAGACTGAATTCTCTACATGGTGATCAGTGTGGAAGTCAGTTAACAAACACTTATTGAGAATTTATGTAAGGGTTTAATGTGAGGAGATGGAAAATTCTGAAGACCCAGGTCCAGTGAAGTCCTTCCTGAGGGACCCGGATGTCTGTATGACAGAAAACACTGAGCAATAATTATTCCTACATCCTAGTCTCACACATGTTCAGACTGGGAAGAATGAAGGTGTAGTAAGTATGTAGGTCTCCTACTGCATGTATTTTAATTCAACAACCGTTTATGGAACCCCTGCTATGTACTGACAGACTTCATATTCATTTATTCAATTAAGCTTTCATTGAGTTTTTACTCTGTCCTTGGCACTGAGGGAAGCCAAGCTTGAGTAAGTCACAGCAACTGCCACCTGCAAAGAATCTGTCCAGGTTGAATTAAGACAAAGTAGACAGGCAAATAAACCGAAATGGGGTCCACACAAGGTTAGAGATCTTCAGCAGGAAAGGCAGGGCACTGAAACCCAGTCACAGGACATGATAAATGCACCAAAACATGAAAATAAGTAGGAGCCCACCAGAAGGAGATTAAGGAGTAAAAACATCATGGCTTAGTGACCACTGTACTCAGACCAGGGGCTAGATTCTGGGGATTCTGGGGTCACGGATGGCTGCTGATCGCTTCACTAACTCCTTGTGGGCTATAAGATTTATCCACCCAATGAGTTTCAGAGTCCTCCATCTGCGAAAGCTGAAGAGTGTTTCTGAAGAGTACACTGTGTCCTCCTATGGTTCTAATTCCTCCTGCTCTTCCCTTCTTATCAACTAGACCAGGGATCAACAAACTGTGGGCCCCAGCCAAGCCCAGTCCCCACCAGTTTTGTAAATTGTCTTATCGGCACACAATCACACTCAACAGTTGCCTTGTCCGCTTTCACACTACAAAGGCAAAGTTGAGTAGTTATGACAGAAACTCTGTGAGCCACAAAACTTTGAATATTTCCCATCTGGCCCTTTACAGAAAAAGTTCTCTGACCTTTGAGCAAGGCTATAGCAGCTATGCTCTCAGCTGTCACTATTCCTCATCATTTGAACCTGGATGTAGCCCCTTGAGGGAAACCACCCTGGGAGGAAGTGAGTGGAGATGAGGGAGGGCAGGGACAGGAACTGGAGGCAGAGCCTGGGAGGTGAGATCCTCGGCAGAGGAAAGACATCCTCTCTGCAGGTGACTTAGGGCTGGTATAAGAGGACATTATGAGGATACTGGGGCCTATCAAAAGACTGGAATTCTTTTTCACAATAAGATTGTTTCACTGTGCCTTTAAAAAAAATGTGTAGCCTTATTCTTTGCCAGATTTCAGAGACTCTATGGAGAGTTCTTTTTATAAAGCACGATCGTGCAAGAGGAAGATCGCGCCTCAGGTGTTTGAGCTGGAGGGCCACATACAATTCAAATCAAAGCGGACGACTGCAGCAACCTGAGGTAGAGAACATAATCCACATCCCACACAGTCCCCTGGACCCCTGTCTCTAGCAGCCTGATGATTAATGCGTAAACCAGGAAGGTATTTCATTGACTGCCTTCTGGTCTCTTGAGCACAGTGCAGTCAATAAATATTTACTGAATGCATTTTCCTAAGGCTTGCAGCACTTGCTCCATGATAAGTCATAACTGAATAAGCAAGAATTGTTCAGGGCTGTTACAAATAAATATATAAATGTATGTTAATAGAATCCAAGCTAGGAATGGTCAGCAGGAAAGAAAATATGCATCTGTCTAGGACAGGGCATGCTTCTTGGTGTGAATAAGAAAGAAGCATGTCACGTAAGCTCCAGAAGTGAGGATTGCCAAAGAAGGAAGGGAGAAAGGTAAAAAAGAAGAAAGGCATAGAGAGAGATTTATAAATGGCTCTATTTTGAACAAATGAAAATACATACTTTTTTTTTAGGGCCAAGCTTTTGTATTCTCTCTGGCTTTATGTGGGTATCATTTTCATCTGTCACTGAAATGGCTCCTCTGCTCAAGAAATGGCAGAGTTAACTGAAATGGGCTCCCAAATTGTAATTTTTGCTATAAAGGTAAAATATGGCTATCTGCAGCCCATTTGAAGCTATAGTACCAATATGCCGATGCAGTTCCCCCTTAAGCCCCAGTCACATTAGATTCTGAATGGCGTATCGCCAAGTGGGGCACAGGCACGGGAGTTAAGGTACGTTTATTTAAGACTGAATGCTTATCCTGAGTTAAAAGCAAATTAAAATCTTGCATTTGAGATATTAAAAGGGGACAATGTAATTAGCCCATTCTCCTCTGTGCAGTCTCGTCATGCTCCTGTAGAGCCTGAGAATGCACAACTACAGTGAAAGCAGAAGCCTGGATGGTGCTGGAAAGGAAAGGCATCTGCATAGCTAGGTGTCCAGCTTTGTAGGGGAAAGATCTTGCCTCTGGGAAGTGATCCAGTAAGCCAGCCTACAATTAATGCAAACATCATTAATGACCATCCAGGTCCAGCCCTTCACCAGATTGGAAAGGACACTAGTGACTACACAGTTCACCTCCATTGGCTCTGCTTCTGGGTTCCCTGTCCACAGCCACTCCACGACGGAATAGGGAACCAGTGCTTCATTGGCTTTAGGCAGCAAAAAAGAGGCAGATCCAGGAAGGAAATCAATACATCTCAGGGTTCTTTTCAGGAGACCACCCCAAGGGTGGAAGGTCATCAGGTCTACGGCGTAGCGGACCTCCCTTGGAAGCAGCTATGGCCCCTTGGGGTAATCTAAAGAAGACACACAGACTTGATTCACGGCATTTTGAGAGTTGTCTTTGCCACTCTGGTGCTGGCTTTGCCCCGTCTGATGCTCTAGACAACAACTGAATGATAGGTTTTATGGCCACCAACTCAACCGAGGAAACTTGCCAGAAGATTTATGGCTTACCGCTCACCCTCACCAAAATATCTGTTCCAAGTCTCTTCTGAATTCCACTCTCTCCTGAATTCTAGACCACCTGTCCATTTTTCCAAAAGAGAGAGAAGGAAAAGATTCTGTGGGGTTTCTTCCTGAAGGTTATCACTTCTGATCATGTATCTGAAGGCTGATCTGACTTACCTAGGCTTACCTTGAGAAGCAAGCCTAGATGGCTAGGAAGAAAATGCGGAGAAAAGTGTTTTAAAGTTTAGAATTATAAAACATCACTCAAAGAAGGCTTCACGAAAACTGAGCCAAAAAGCTCCTGGACGGGGAGTCAGATCTAATCACAGCACAGGGAAGAGAGGAAGGCTTTGAACGCTTCCTGCCCTTAAAGCAGGGTGCCCAGCAGACTTGTCCCAAAACCAGCTAAGCCCACCTCTTCAAGCACCTCCAACAGGCCCCCTGCCATTCCAAGACTTGATTTCCGCTGCTGCCTCCTAGGGCTCTAAGGTGTTTATCGGATTACCACTTGAAGTCACATATCCCACTGTTGTGTTTTGTGGTTGCTTATTTATGCACCTGCTCTCCCCAGAGATATGAGGAGCTTGGAGCCGAGAAGGAAAAGCTGTGTTCTGTGTGCAGCAGGTGCCTGGTGCGAATTTGTAGTGCACATGCTGAACAAAATTGCTTTACTTGTAAAGCAATTTACAAGTAAATTGTAACCGTGGTCCCAGTTCTGGCCTACAGATCCTAGGAGTCCAAAGGGTGTAGAAAAAGAATTATGCGGGATTATGTGCAGCCAGCTGACAGCTGGGCTGCTATTTGTTTGCTCTTTTCCCAAGATTCCATTGGCCATTCTGTCCCATAGAAGCCAGAAATACCTGCATATCAGAGAACCAAATGTAAGGTTTTATCCAATAATATTTAAACCCCAAAGGCCGTGTGAGACATAATTTCTGCTTTGATAAAGAATGCATATTTTAAGGGATGGATCCATAACTTTACAAGAAAAAATAAGCAAAGCAAGATGCCTTTTAAAATGGAGGATGCAGAATTGATGTGATTATAATTGATAGCAAATGCTGATTGGAATATTTATTATTCCTAAGATCTCTTCTACATTTCAGAGGCGGCACAAATTCAAACATGTGGACACATTCACTCGGGGCTCCATTCCAGATGAGAGGACATGGGGGAGTGGCTCCAAGTCCTGAGGCATCATTCACGTTGCTTCCCCCTTCCTATGAATGAGGTTTCACCCCCCACCCCAGACTTTAATATACCCAAGTGTGTCTGTCTCAGCAGGAAGAGACTGTCTTTCTCCCCATGAGGCATGCATTGTTAGCCACACACTGACTTCTAGATGTTCAAAGAACAGATGAAGATTTCACCAGGAGCTGGTGTTTTCTGTTAGGCTACTCCTTTCTCATATTTCATTACCCCTCAAATTGTAGAGGCTGACATAAGATTGCTAGCCTTTTAAATTGCCACATAAGAACTTTAAAAAGCCAATATTTTTATCAACAGTACTCCTTAATCCAAGAAGGATAAAGATAGTCTTTATATTGAATAAATTGACAACATTGTTCTTGTCCTTCTAATTCTACCTTATGCCTCTGATCTATATTTGCTTATCATGTCCCCAGCATGAGCATCCTAATAATGAAAATGTCTCTCTTATAATGTTGCTAGATGGGTTCTAGATATTTGAAAACCTGGTTGTCTTTTCTTACGGATTTTAGGGTTTTATGTCCTAAGAGTCATAAAATTTAAGGATAGAATATGCAAAAGTGATCAGAAAATAGTCATAAAAGTCATCAGAAGTTAAATGTTCCCCTGGAATTTTTCTTTGGTAGGCACAATGCTAATCCCCAATGCAAATTTTGGTGACCAAATCACAAATTTGTCCTTTCTTCTCTGTTCCAGGTACATGGCCATCATCCATCCCCTCCAGCCCCGGCTCTCAGCCACGGCCACCAAGGTGGTCATCTGTGTCATCTGGGTCCTGGCTCTTCTACTGGCCTTCCCCCAGGGCTACTACTCAACCACAGAGACCATGCCCAACAGAGTTGTGTGCATGATTGAATGGCCCAAACATCCCGACAAGATCTACGAGAAAGTGTGAGTAGGGATGATTCCGGTGACGCCTTCTTTGTCTTTTCTTATTCTTTCTTTCCATGTTCTTTTGTTGGTTACAATTTAGTGTCTATCTATAAGCATTTCTCATAACCAGTCTGATGTTAGGCTGATGGGTCCATCATTATCAAGGGACTCTTTGTGTCCCAACTACTACTCTGGACTTTGAGTGAAAATTTAAAAATATGCAAGACCTGGATCTTGTTATAGCCTGCCATCCAAGCGTTCTTCCATATCCTCCTGCGGGTTACCGCGACTCTACCCCACCAGTGTCTGCATTGCTTTGCCTGGGAGTTTGTTTCTCCAGAACGCTGCTCTGCCCTCTTGTTCGGCATGCCAGAAGGTGGGGGAATTATCCTTGCTCCCAGCAGCTCTCAACAGCAGATAGCAGCTGGAGTCTGAACACCAGCTCCCTCAGCACACAGGTGGGATGTCTCTGAGGTGTGTGTTTTACACTGCGTCCAAGGTTTTGTCTTGGGGTGAAGCTCCAGTCACCCCCGCTGACACACCCTTCTCTGTACCACTGCCCTCCTCCCTACTGGCATTTCTTTCTCCTTCTAATGAAGTCACTTGCGCTTGAATCTTTATCTCAGGGTATGCCTGTGGGGGAAGCCAAGCCACAGCACCTATCTTCCAGGGTTTTCTAGGTGGAGAAATAAGATACACATTCAGAATGGATGGGAAGGGGGCGCCTGGGTAGCTCAGTGGGTTAAGCCTCTGCCTTCAGCTCAGGTCATGATCTCAGGGTCCTGGGATCGAGTCCCACATCGGGCTCTCTGCTCAGCGGGGAGCCTGCTTCCTCCTCTCTCTCTGTCTGCCTCTCTGCCTACTTGTGATCTCTGTCTGTCAAATAAATAAATAAAATCTTTAAAAAAAAATGGATGGGAAGGCAAGGCCAGTACAATGAGACCTTAAGAGTTACAGGTTTCCCTACAAGGCAGGCCTGCTTTTATCTTCAGGGGCCTGACTGATCGCATTAAAGGGATTTCAAAGAAATCCTGGCAATTTTCTCCAGGACTTCTCCTAGAGGCGACATCGAAATGGCTTATTCTTTGTTTTGTTCTGCTCAGGTGAGTGGCAATGTGACATTTCTATCACTGTCCGTTTCCTGGGCTCAGAGCACATTGGTCTGAGGGTCCTTTGACAGTTCTCTGTAATTCTCCAATCTCGGGTTTATTATGTGAATCATAAGAGAACACTGGCGTTAATAATCAGATGATCTATGTTTTAATAACAAGATTGCCATTACTACTTCTATGACTCCGGGCAAGGATCACAGTCCCCCCTCATTGTTAAATTGAAAGTGATAAGCTCTGCTTCCCATAAACAACTGCTGTGACGTGCAAACGAGATAATATATCCTCCTCTTGTAAGCTATTAAATGCCATACAAAAGGTAAGATACTGTTATCGAACCAAATTCATCAGATAGCGGTAGAATCATTATAGGCCTTTAAACTCATTAGGTGGTAACTTGAGACACTACCTGTTAACCCCCAAGATCTGAGGGTCTGAAAGCCTGCTGCAGAGAGTTCCGCGGAGCATGGAAATGGGGCTTGCCAGAAAGCAATACATAAAGCCCAGGCTTTGCTCCCAGACACAGGCAGTGGGATTTAATCGATCAAGCAGTGGGGGGATTAATGCTCAGCCTAGAAGGAGACATTGAAAATTATTCTTCCAAATGAAACTCAAGCCTGAGTAGGGTCTCAGCGGGAGAAAGAACAGAGCTTTCCAAGCTGTACAGGGCCCGTGAACGTGTTCAAGCCAGAAGGTTCCCTCAGAAGGGAAAAATGAAAGCCCCTGAATTAAAGCCCATTCTGTAAGCTGCTTAGAAACTGCCTTTGACTCGGTTCACATGATTTTTTTCCAAGTCTGCTCACCTTCCTACAGTTTTGTTTCAAAATACAGTCCGTTTATCTTCCAGCAAATTCCAAGTTTAACATGGAAACGAAGGTATTTACACAGATCCCTGGAGTCTTGCCCAAGAAATAGTAGTTTTTAAAGTTTTACTCTGAAACATTTTGCTGTCTTATGCTTGTTAATGATGAAGAAAGCCCTTTGAGACTCAATACAGTACGCTGATTGTCTTCTTTCCTTGCAATGAGAATTTAGAGTAGCTGTACTAGAAGCATGCTTAGGTTTGCCATCATTGTTTATTTCATGATTTTTTGAACTCCTTCCTTCTTTTTATTTGTTCATTTTTAAAATTTTATTATTTTTATTAAATTTTTAATTTTAATTCTGGTATAGTTAACATACCGTCGTATATTAATTTCAGGTGTACAATAGAGTGATGCCACCGTTCTGTCCACTACTCAGTGCTCACCATGCTAAGGGCTCACTTATTTCACTCATCTCCCCACCTTCCTTCCCTCTGGTAACCATCATTTTGTTTGCTATAGTTAAGAGTCTGTTTCTTGGTTTGTCTCTCTCTTTTTCCCTTTGCTCATTTGTTTTGTTTCTTAAATTCCACACGTGAGTGAAGACGAATGGATAAAGAAGATATGAGATACACACACACAAACACACACACACATGTAGGAGTTTTATTTGGCCATAAAAAAGAAGGAAATCTTGCCATTTGCAACAACATGATTGGAGTCAAGAGTGTAATGCTAAGCGAAATAAGTCAATCAGAGAAAGGCAATACCATATGTTTATTTCATGATTTTAATCTTAAAAAGTGAGTCTGGAGAACAGCTTCTGATTTTATCTACTCAAGATGCATAAAATGTTTATGGATACAGTAGTAAGTTGAAAGAATCTGTATTTGTCATCCACATATGATGTCTGTGAAGCAAACGTAAGTCGAGTGCGTAGTAAGCTTTATGTAAGCCTATTTCCTTTTTGTCAGTATCCTTCATAATGCCTTATGATATACTTTTAGAGAATTTAAGTTTTACTAGCTCTAACCTAAGTACTTCTGCTTCTGCTGGGACTGATTGCCATTGTCTTCTGCTGGGACTGATTGCCATTTCCACAGCAGACAATAATCCCAAATTTGAAACAAGAAGGAAACTTTCTTTAAGGCAGTATAATAATTAGGTTAGGAACATGGGGTCTGGAGTTAAATGAAGGCTCAACTCCCAGCCAAATCACTGTCTAGTTGAGTCATCATGGTCAAGTTATTTAAGCCTCTAAGCTGAATGGAACATTCCACATAGAGGTATCGAGAAAAGGTAAATAAGGCACATTCTTAGCCCAGTGCCAAGCACATGGGAAGAGTCCGGCGCATCATTCATAGATCTGGGTGCATGGGTAGATGACTGGCAGCAGACAGTGTGGTGGGCAAATGCTTAGGCCCAATTTGCCTGATGAATAATTTGTGCCAGCTAATTATATAAAAAGGTTTTGTGAAAAATCTTAGATTGCTGCATTTGCCTTTTGGCTACATGCTGAACCCCCAGCCCTGATCATTCATCATTCAGGCTCTTTATTAATACATGGATTAAATTAAGCACTATTAAAGAAAGGCAATCCAATAAAAGAACAGGCAAAAGTTTTGCATATGCACTTCGCAAAAGGAAATGTCCAAATGACCAGTTAATATGTGAGGAGGCACACAACTTTATTCATCACCAGTGAAATACAAATGACCATAATGACATCTTTCTGCCTACCCATTAGACTGGCAAATATTAAGAAGCCTGACTCGACCAAGCATTTAAAACTTTTGGTGAAATTAGGAAACAATGAGAACCTTTGTCGACTGCTAGAAGAAGCATACATCAATAAAACCATATTGGAAAACATTTTGTAGTATCCAGAAAAGCAGAAGCTATCCACACACTATCACCCCACATTTTTGCCCAAGGGTAACTGCCCTAGAAAAATGCATGCACATATGCACCCAAACACAGCTAGAGTATGGTTCATATCAGCATTGTTCTTAATGCCCCAAACTGGAGGTATTCCAGATGTCCATCATCAGTAGGATGGGTAAAAAACTGTGGCACAAGCATGTAACAGAATACTATGTAATTAACACAACGAACAAAATGTAGCTCCATGCAACATGGCTGGTTCTTACAAAGTCTTAAAACAAATTGAGGAAAATGGAAGTACATCTTTAAGAACACATCAGTAGGTGGTCGAACTATAAATGCACACAAAGTAGTAGTCACCATGAAAGTGAAGACGTGATTCTCTCTCATGGGAAGGAAAGGGGTGTGGCCAAGAAGAGACACTTAGAGATGCTTTTGAGGGGCTGACAATATTATATTTCCTGAGCTCTGTGGTAGTAGCATGAGTGCTTGCTTAAAAACCATTCATAATACCAGGTGATTTTGCTCATCCATTTTTTCTGGAATGTATGCTTCATATTTTTTAACTGTAAATTAAATGCTATTCAAAGGATTTTGCTTTTACAAGCTTTCAAGAAACTGCTTTCCTTGGGATAACCCCAGAAGTTCGTTCCTTAAGAATTACCTTCTGAGAGGCGCCTGGGTGGCTCAGTGGGTTGGGCCGCTGCCTTCGGCTCGGGTCATGATCTCAGGGTCCTGGGATCGAGTCCCGCATCGGGCTCTCTGCTCAGCGGGGAGCCTGCTTCCCTCTCTCTCTCTCTGCCTGCCTCTCTACTTGTGATCTCTCTCTGTCAAATCAATAAATAAAATATTAAAAAAAAAAGAATTACCTTCTGAGGCATGGAGCTTTGCCTAGCATGATATTATTCATAAGTTTTTACCTTTGAATAAGCCAAAGCATGGATGGACCCCACTGCATTCTCATGCTTACTTAACCTCGTGCATTTTGCCTTGCTGACTCCTACATTTCAGCCCACCTGGAATTTGCCCAACTGGTCTAAGAGCAAATGGGACAAATGCTGTCCCTGGAAGGAGTGGCAAACGTTGAGTAGAGCATAAGGCCCAGACAGTTTCCACAACCCCCACCCCTTACTTCTATATTCATAAGCATGTACCTCTGGGCAATAAAATGCTACCGACAGACATGATCAGTTTCCTAGAAAATCATTTCAAACTTTATTTT